CGATGTTAGCCAACTATCAATCACTATCAAACGATTTCAGCCAATTATTATTCACTATCAAATGATTTTAGTCAATTATAAATCACTATCAAACGATTTCAGCCAATTATTATTCACTATCAAACGATTTTAGTCAATTATAGATCACTATCAAACGATAATAATCAACTATCAATCGATATCAAACGATTTTAGTCAATTATAAATCACTATCAAAGGAAAATAATCAACTATCAATCACTATCAAACGATTTCAGCCAATTATTATTCACTATCAAACGATTTTAGTCAATTATAAGTCACTATTAAACGACAATAATTAACTATAAATCACTATCAAACGATATTAGCCAATAATAATTAACTATCAAACGATTTCAGCCAATTATTATTCACTATCAAACGATTTCAGCCAATTATTATTCACTATCAAACGATTTTAGTCAATTATAGATCACTATCAAACGATAATAATCAACTATCAATCGATATCAAATGATTTTAGCCAACTATCAATCACTATCAAACGATTTCAGCCAATTATTATTCACTATCAAATGATTTTAGCCAACTATCAATCACTATCAAACGATTTCAGCCAATTATTATTCACTATCAAACGATTTCAGCCAATTATTATTCACTAACAAACGATTTTAGTCAATTATAGATCACTATCAAACGATAATAATCAACTATCAATCGATATCAAACGATTTTAGCCAACTATCAATCACTATCAAACGATTTCAGCCAATTATTATTCACTATCAAATGATTTTAGTCAATTATAGATCACTATCAAACGATAATAATCAACTATCAATCGATATCAAACGATTTTAGTCAATTATAAATCACTATCAAAGGAAAATAATCAACTATCAATCACTATCAAACGATGTTAGCCAACTATCAATCACTATCAAACGATTTCAGCCAATTATTATTCACTATCAAACGATTTATGCCAACTGTAAATCACTATCAAAAGATATTAGCCAATAATAATTAACTATCAAACGATTTCAGCCAATTATAAATCACTATCAAAGGAAAATAATCAACTATCAATCACTATCAAACGATTTCAGCCAATTATTATTCACTATCAAACGATTTTAGTCAATTATAAGTCACTATTAAACGACAATAATTAACTATAAATCACTATCAAACGATATTAGCCAATAATAATTAACTATCAAACGATTTCAGCCAATTATTATTCACTATCAAACGATTTCAGCCAATTATTATTCACTATCAAACGATTTTAGTCAATTATAGATCACTATCAAACGATAATAATCAACTATCAATCGATATCAAAAGATTTTAGCCAACTATCAATCACTATCAAACGATTTCAGCCAATTATTATTCACTAACAAACGATTTTAGTCAATTATAGATCACTATCAAACGATAATAATCAACTATCAATCGATATCAAACGATTTTAGCCAACTATCAATCACTATCAAACGATTTCAGCCAATTATTATTCACTATCAAATGATTTTAGTCAATTATAGATCACTATCAAACGATAATAATCAACTATCAATCGATATCAAACGATTTTAGTCAATTATAAATCACTATCAAAGGAAAATAATCAACTATCAATCACTATCAAACGATGTTAGCCAACTATCAATCACTATCAAACGATTTCAGCCAATTATTATTCACTATCAAACGATTTATGCCAACTGTAAATCACTATCAAAAGATATTAGCCAATAATAATTAACTATCAAACGATTTCAGCCAATTATAAATCACTATCAAAGGAAAATAATCAACTATCAATCACTATCAAACGATTTCAGCCAATTATTATTCACTATCAAACGATTTTAGTCAATTATAAGTCACTATTAAACGACAATAATTAACTATAAATCACTATCAAACGATATTAGCCAATAATAATTAACTATCAAACGATTTCAGCCAATTATTATTCACTATCAAACGATTTCAGCCAATTATTATTCACTATCAAACGATTTTAGTCAATTATAGATCACTATCAAACGATAATAATCAACTATCAATCGATATCAAAAGATTTTAGCCAACTATCAATCACTATCAAACGATTTCAGCCAATTATTATTCACTATCAAATGATTTTAGTCAATTATAGATCACTATCAAACGATAATAATCAACTATCAATCGATATCAAACGATTTTAGTCAATTATAAATCACTATCAAAGGAAAATAATCAACTATCAATCACTATCAAACGATGTTAGCCAACTATCAATCACTATCAAACGATTTCAGCCAATTATTATTCACTATCAAACGATTTATGCCAACTGTAAATCACTATCAAAAGATATTAGCCAATAATAATTAACTATCAAACGATTTCAGCCAATTATAAATCACTATCAAAGGAAAATAATCAACTATCAATCACTATCAAACGATTTCAGCCAATTATTATTCACTATCAAACGATTTTAGTCAATTATAAGTCACTATTAAACGACAATAATTAACTATAAATCACTATCAAACGATATTAGCCAATAATAATTAACTATCAAACGATTTCAGCCAATTATTATTCACTATCAAACGATTTCAGCCAATTATTATTCACTATCAAACGATTTTAGTCAATTATAGATCACTATCAAACGATAATAATCAACTATCAATCGATATCAAAAGATTTTAGCCAACTATCAATCACTATCAAACGATTTCAGCCAATTATTATTCACTATCAAATGATTTTAGCCAACTATCAATCACTATCAAACGATTTCAGCCAATTATTATTCACTATCAAACGATTTCAGCCAATTATTATTCACTAACAAACGATTTTAGTCAATTATAGATCACTATCAAACGATAATAATCAACTATCAATCGATATCAAAAGATTTTAGCCAACTATCAATCACTATCAAACGATTTCAGCCAATTATTATTCACTATCAAATGATTTTAGTCAATTATAGATCACTATCAAACGATAATAATCAACTATCAATCGATATCAAACGATTTTAGTCAATTATAAATCACTATCAAAGGAAAATAATCAACTATCAATCACTATCAAACGATGTTAGCCAACTATCAATCACTATCAAACGATTTCAGCCAATTATTATTCACTATCAAACGATTTATGCCAACTGTAAATCACTATCAAAAGATATTAGCCAATAATAATTAACTATCAAACGATTTCAGCCAATTATTATTCACTATCAAACGATAATAATTAACTATCAATCACTATCAAACGATTTTAGTCGCTATCAAACAATAAGAATCAACTATCAATCACTATCAAACGATTTTAGTCAATTATAAATCTCTATTGAACTATAATTATCAATTATAAATCACTATCAAAGGAAAATAATCAACTATCAATTACTATCAAATGATTTTAGTCAATTTTAAATCTCTATCAAACGAAAATAATGAACTATCAATCACTATCAAACGATATTAGTCTACCATTAATCAATATTAAACTGCCTACAAACGATTGGAATTAAAATTTGACAATTATTCAATTTGTTCAATTTTTGAAAGGAGAGTATTTAATTGTATGATATATGAATAAAAATTTGAAGTATTACATTTTGTTTCTAAAATCGAAGATGAAAATTTGTTTCTGTTTTTTGAAAATGCCGCGAAAGTATGTTTTGCGCATGCGCATATGGAGGGATGCGACATGGATAGATGTTTTTGATAATGTTTATATTTATTATTATTTCAACTATCAAACGTTCAGAATTGACTATCAATCTCTATCAAACAACCAACAAACGTTTACAAATGAAAAATTAGTATTTTTTTGAATTTGGGGTGCACTGTGAAAATAGCACACCAAAATTTGATTTATGTTTATTTTTTCTAATTATTACTATCAAACGTTAAATATCAACTATCAAACACTATCAAACGACCAACAAACGTTTAAAATAAAAAAAAATTGATTTTCATTAAGTTGTGGTGCTAACTTCACGGGCATGTGAACACCGGACCACGTGCATAATAACATAACCTATATTCTAAGTATTATATTGTCAGTCTAGTCGTTTGGTATCTCCCAAAATAAACAATTTTTAAATAAAAACTTTATAAACAATAACAAACAATAATAATACGCTTATAGCCAGTGTTTTTCATAATGTTTTGACAAATTAAACATTTAGCAACATTTTTATCAGTACCTAGCTCTTTCATCCGCTCAAATTCCATTTTTTCCCAGGGCAAACCCTCTTTAAAAGATTTTCTTTTACTTTTTCTGACCATTTCTATTTTATTTTAAGACTTTAATTTAAATAGAATGATAAGAAAAATTCGTTATGGCAAAAATCAGAGGATCATATAGATGTCAAAATGTCAGTGGTTTTCTACATGGTTTTATACATTTTATACGTATATTACGTCGAAAACGTATTATACGTACAAAACTTCGTGTGACGCGTCACAACCCATCACTGTATATGTGCTTCCGAACGTAGGGGCTTCCGTTTTACGTTCATGATTTTGGTCTATAGGCCTTTCTCCAATGGAACCTAAACTTTTGCGTTGCGTGACTGACGCGTTGATTTTAGCATTGGTTGCCAATAGCAACCGACGCAATGCATACGCAACGCAAGAGTTTAGGATCCTATTGGAGAAAGGCCTTTAGATGCTGACTCTACATTGGCTGCGTAAACGTGTACGTGAACGTGAACGTGCTGACGTCACCCATTTGAATAACATTGTAACGTCAGCACGTTCACGATCACGTACACGTTTGCGCAGCCAATGTAGAGTCAGCATGAAGTCGGTTCTACAATGGGCACGTTTGTACGTGAACGTATACGTTCCGTGCTGACGTCACCCATTTGCAGAACATTGTGACGTCAGCACGTACACGTTCACGTTCGCTTACAAACGTGCCCATTGGAGAACCGACTTTATGGACTCAACCTGATCCGAGTTCTACTTGCATACCCTGTACCCAACTGAATTGTGCTTAGACCTTTAATCTTGAATCAGTTCCTTAATAACATTTCTACTTTCTGTAGTGATGTATTTTATTAACTTTGACGTACCTATATTATATATCGTCTACAATAGAAAGTAAATAAGATTAGCATAATTTCTACATTTAGAATTTGTTATTTTAATTTTCAATTATGTGGTACTGACTGTTGTTTCTGTTTATAAAATACTATACAATCCCAATCAAATCACTGACACTAATCTAAAAGTAAACGCCCACAAGTGTCTTTAATACTAAAAACAACAAAGACTAAAATTATTGTCATATATTTTTTAAATAAATCTTTTAATTAGAATGAGTATTTTAAAAAAGAGGTAACTATTTATATATATAGCATCTGCTATATTTTGAATTACTATTTTTAAATAAGAAAAAAATCATGTATTTTCTTTTTTAAAGGTTAAATAAATATGATGAGATGCTTAAGGCTGACAATATTGACATTCCCAATCTCAGGAAATTGTGCTTTCATGGTAAGAAATTGTTATTTTTTTAATGTTGAACTCTAAAATAAATACTTTTGTAAATCACGATTTTTTAAAAGAGATTTACAAATATTCAATACTTTTTTCAGGTTAAAACATGTTTTTATCTTATCTAATTCAGTTGCCAATAAAATATACTTTTAACTCGGAGCTTCTTGCAATTTGAAGCTTTTTTATTTTTTTATTTTAAATATAATTCCTATTCAATGTTGAGAATAATATAATTAGAGACAGGAACTTTATACTTTTCACAAAGAAAGTATGCTCTTAAAAAAAGTTGCAGTTATGCTGCAATTATGGTTTCAAATAGTATCAATGATACTATTAATTTGTTCTTAAAAATTGACTTTTATGCTTTACATCTGATAAACTTTTACTTTAGCTCAAAATTATTAAATACATCTAACAGGGCTGCAATGATTTAAATCAAGTTGATTTAAGCCAAAAAGATTCTTTAATTAAAATTTTTTAAATATTTATTTGTAAATAAAAATCATTGTTCTTATTAATAAAGCATTTAAAATAAGCGGGCTTTTTATATCAAATGATCAGAGTGTCTACAAACCGGAAAGTAGCCGGGAAACGAAAAAAATCGGGAAATAAATTTCCTAAAATGGTAAATTTATTAAAATTTTTATCGATTCGTATGCTATGTATGAAAACAACGCGGAGGAAAATTAAAAATTTTGTTTTAAGGGGTTAGTACCACATCTTTTTTCAAGAAAATCGATTTTCTAAAAACTGCATATTCTTGTAGTAGATATATGTAGAAATGCTATGGAAACTATTATTTTGGTTGGAAACTTCGGTAACATCGAAAAACGGGGTACAATGTAAAAGTCACGCGCTCATGGAGCGTACTCTTCGCGAGTACAATGTATGCTTTTATTAATATATACCAATATAAATATATATCAAATTACACATATATGTATATAAAAGCATATATACATGTATATAATGTATCCTGTTGTGTAAAGGGGTATTTTCTTGAAAAAGGACATGTTTTCATAAATTCGCTTTTTCTCAAAACAAAGTTTTTTGATCTGGCGGACATCATAAAAGAAAAACTATTGCACCGATTGAGCTCAAATTTTTATGGCTTATTCTACACTTATACCGCTATCGTCGGAACTAGAATCATAATTTTTCATTAATATTTAACCATTTTTTAAAACAATTTAAGGACGTTTATCCACGGAAATGCAGACCTTTTGAAAAAAATAATTTATTAACATTTACATAATTAAAATAATATTATTAATTGTACTTTCTGAAAGATAAGATATTAATTAATTTTCAAGAAAAAAATTTAAAACCTGCAAAATTTATTTGTTTATACAATTTGCATACGATAACATTTTTTTTGTTATATCGCTTCTACAGAATTTTTTAAAAATGATTCGATTTTAATTAAATATGGCTTATTTTCTTCAGAAAATGATTCTCTACAACTTCACGGTGGGGATTTTCAAACAAGCAAGCCGTTTGGAAAATACAGCTATTTCTTTCAAAGAAAAATTTGATTTTTTTTCTTGAAAATTATTATCTCAGAAAGTACAATTAATAATGTTATTTTAATTATTTAAATGTTAATTAATTATTTTTTCTAGAGGTCTGCATTTCCGTGGATAAACGTCCTTAAGTTGAAAAAACAAGGTCAAAAATTTAAAAAAGTTCGCCATTTTGTTTTTTTTTATCGAAAATAGTTGATTGTAGTTCCGATGATAGCGACGAGCTTACTTTTCAAGAAAATATCAAAAATTTTATTTTTCGATGACCTGAATTAGAGATATTGTGTCCGCTAATCACAAGTAAGGGTATTTTCAGGCGGTCATGACAGCAAGATAATTCATAATAAATAAAGAATAAAAAATTTTTTTAATAGTTTAAAACCCCTTCTTTAAGTATAAAAAGTTTGAAGTAAATAAAATAAATTTTGTGGGTCATTCCATTATATTTCACCTAAAGTCGTTGCGGCCTAATTTTTAAAGAAGTTGATACTTTCAGAAATGATTTTTTATGATATTTAGGAAACGAAATAAAAAGAATTAAGTTTAAATTTTTATTATTTATCTCAAAATATGTATTTAAAGTGGACAAGGTGCGGAAAAATGTCACCTTTTTAGCATTTAGAAACTTTTTTTAAAAACATAGAAAAATTGTTAAAAGTGTAAAAAAATTATTTTTTCTTGTTTAGAATCGATTAATTATCTATTTTTTAATGATTAAAGTAGTAAATAAATTAAAATAATATATAAAATAAGTTTTCAAAGTTGGTCTGTCAAATAACCTAATTTTGGGATTTTCATTAATTAATTACTAAAAAGTGGAGTTATTAAATAAAATAAAAACTTACCGAATGTAAAGTATTTGTGGTGAACTTTCAAATTTTCTTAGCACTTTGTACTTTTTAAATTTATAAATGTAAAAAATCTTGAGTCGAAAATTTGCACTTTGTTGACTTTTCCGATTTTTAATTGCTTGTAACTCTTTTGGTGCAAAATAAAAACTTTTGAAACCTTGTGGAATATTTAAGTTAAATCTAAATAAAAACTCACTTAAATTTTTGTGATGGATTTTGATCGAGATAAGGAGACAATTTAATTCCAAAATTGTACGTATATTTCCAGGTTAATGTATGTAATTTTTTTAAACTTGAAGTTGGGCCACTACTTCAAAGACGAAAAATTACATACATTATCCTGGAAATATACGTACAATTTTGGAATTAAATTTTCTTCTAATCTCGATCAAAATCCATCACGAAAATTGCAGTGAGTTTTTATTTAGATTTAACTTAAATATTCCGCCAGGTTTCAAAAGTTTTTATTTTGCACCAAAAGAGTTACAAGCGATTAAAAATCGGAAAAATCAACAAAGTGCCAATTTTCGACTCAAGATTTTTTACATTTATAAATGGAAAAAGTAAAAAGTGCTAAGAAAGTTTGAAAGTTCACCGCAAATACTTTACATTCAGTGAGTTTTTATTTTATTTAATAATTCCACTTTTTAATAATTAATTAATAAAAATCCCAAAATTAGGTTATTTGACAGACCAACTTTGAAAACTTATTTTATATATTATTTTAATTTATTTACTACTTTAATCATTAAAAAATAGATAATTAATCGATTCTAAACAAAAAAAAATAATTTTTTTTACACTTTTAACAATTTTTCTATGTTTTTAAAAAAAGTTTCTAAATACTAAAAAGGTGACATTTTTCCGCACCTTGTCCACTTTAAATACATATTTTGAGATAAATAATAAAAATTTAAACTTAATTCTTTTTATTTCGTTTCCTAAATATTATAAAGAATCATTTCTAAAAGTACCAAGTTTTTTAAAAATTAGGCCGCAACGACTTTAGGTGAAATATAATGGAATGACCCTTGTAATAAAAAAAAAGTATTTCAGAAAAGTCACTGAGAAGTGGTACTAACCCCTTAAACTTATTTATTATGTTTAGTATTAAATTATCAGTTAAACAATAATATTAAAGGTATTATTTGCTTCATAATATACTTGTAGTGAGAAAAAACTTTCATATCTTAAACCGGGAAAAAACTGGGAATTCAAAGACTGAAAAATAGTAGAAACCGTGAATGAGGTTTATGGAATCGTGAAAAAGAAGCATTTGAATATATTGAATAGATTATTATCAGTTTTTGCTAGTTCAGCTGACATTGAGCATATATTTTCCACTTTCAATTTGGTACATTCAAAACATAGGAATGCATTAGGAACCGAGAAGGCTGCAAAATTAGTATTTTTATTTAAAGTATTAAATTTAAAAAATTTAATAAGATATTGTTACAGTTATTGTCAACAAAATCAGAGTATATATACTATAAGTTTTTGTTAGTAGGATAGAAGATGTTTAAAGATTGAAAATAAGTATTTTATTTTTGAGCCAAAGAAACATGAAATATGAAGGCGATTCTCTCAAAAAGGACAAATGAAGCTTTCACGGTAATTTGTTCTAAAATAATAAAATTGATTGAAATTATTAAAAATTCTAGCTGGTAGCCATACGTTAAGATTTAACAATTTTCAATCGGATCACTGAAGAAAAATTCAAAAAAGGCCAAATAACTGAAATATTGAATAAAATCTGATATTACGGAGTTTTCTTTTGACATTTTACTAGTGATTCGATTGAATATTGTTAAATCTTATCGTATGTCTGTCAGAATTTTCTTTAAATTGAAATTAATTTTATTATTTTTTAACAAAAACACCGTCTTAAATCTCTTCTTGCGTGATTTGTCCTTTTTGAGGAAATTTACCATAAGTATTATGTAACAGCGTCATAAGTTTTTAAAAAGATATTTTTATTATTAAAGTTTATGTAGATAGTATATGTATAAAAAATTTTCAAAGTAAAAACGACATAATTTAAAATTATTTTATACACTTATTTTATAACAATTTAAACAAGTTGTAAATTCAGATGTTCATTACATGAACATTTTGCTTCCTCTTTACGATCAGCAAAAAAATTTGCTTCCTCGTGAAGAAAGCAAAATTTTATTGCCAAAATGTGAATTTTTGATTTTTTAACTTTCATTAATTCTTTAAATTTACCTCAAATATATACTTTATATATATCGATCGATTCGTCTTGACGTAAAGAATACAATTTTATTATATATAACCTTAAATTTTTCTATTTAAAAATTTTTTCGATTAAAAAAAATTTTTGGAAAAAAAACGATAAAATTTTTTTTTTTGGGTATTTTTCAAAATCCTTTGGTCAGATTTGAGATATTAATATGATAAATGAGCCTACCAAATTTTATCTAAATCCATTGAAACCTGTTAAAGTTATCTTCTAAACAAAAAAGGGATCCACACACATACACACACATACACATACATACATACATCCGGACAATTGATCAGGATCTCATGTAACATGTCTCTATAAAGAAAAAAATTTATTTCCGCCACTTTGAAAAGTTTTATAAACGAAAGGACTACAAAGCTTCCTCCACGAGGAACCAAAATAAACATTTAAAAAGTAGCATTAAAAAAATCATGATTTTTATCAGCATTTATCTAATAAGTTTCAAATTATTCAAACGAAAAAGTATCTAAATTTTCAAATATCATTAAATCTATTAAGAAAAAGAATATAGAGTGAAAGAGAGTTCAGTAACTTTAAAAAAAAAATTCAAGGCCTTTTCAAATTTTTCGATATTAGCAATGATAATTGTTTTCAAGATTCATCTTTAACGTAGTCACTTCTAATAATTTTAAATCAGAATTTTTTGTATCAAGAAATGATGATTTTTAATAGGTATACAGTCCTATTATTTACATATTATTCCATAAATATTCTTCGAAAATTTTAATGAAATTCTTTAATAAATTCAATTATTCAAAATATACAATAAAAATTTAACAAAATTTCAATTATTTAATATTTTTTATCTTCAAAAAATAAATTATTTTAAAAACTGTAATTTTAAAATAAAATAATTCTAAATAAATTCTTCAAAAATTGAATTGCCTTTGGAATTTTTAATTTAAAATCATTTAAACTAAAGTAAAAATTTTCAATTGCACATATTTGAACTGCACATATTTTAACTAAAACTCTTTACAAATTTTATCATTTCCAAAACTTTGTAATTTTGTAGTTTTAGATCTCCTAAACAAAAAATGTAAAAGGCAAAATTCCAAAAAATGGACACATTTTTTAAAACTTGAGGTTAAGTTTAAAAAATAGTGTTAAAAGCGAAAAAAATTCAAAAATGAGTAAAACCGAAAAAACTAAATAAACTGTCTTAAAACTCGTTACTCGGGGGTTTACGGGTTCGCTGATAACCAATTCGAAAAAGCCTCGTTATACAGCTGAAAAACACATGATAAAAGATAATAAAAATATTATACCCAGCTACAAATTATTGTACAACCCGAAACCGAATTTTTAATCACCGAGGCTTAAAAAATCGTCTAGTAACAAGTTTTGAAGTGAATAAAAATAATTTTTAAAAATTCCTTTGCCAGTCTAGATCCGGTATTTTGGATTTTGAAAATCTGTCATTGAATTCGTAATCAGCGAATGTTAAAAGATACAAAGAATTACATAAAAAATGGTGTTAGTTATAAATTAATTCAAATTATTAAATAATAATGCATTATATAGTTTGAAAATAAACCATTCACTCTTATTCTTATTAGATAAATACTATTTTCAATACATTTTTATCATGCTGGAAATAGTGTTGTAATTTGATAGAAACAATTTTCTCTCTTTCTCTGATATAAGAAATATTGTTTGAATTTCTGTTTCTATTTACCCCGAATTTACAGTTTTTAATTGAATTTTGCAAAATGAAAAAATCAAAGTTGATTTTTGTTGTAGTATTAATAAGAGATAATTATTATAAATAATAATATGAATTTTTAGTTTATTTTTTTTGAAATACGAGTCAAAAAAGTGAAAGGGTGTCTGCTTTGATTTTCAATTTTTTATGCAATAGGAAATATATTTGTTTATACTGCTGCTAATTGACAAACTGACCCTATACATTTTTTTTAAATTAATTGATATTGAAAACTTTAATTTAATTTAAATAAATTTTTTTTAGAAATTTGTATTAATCTCCTTGACCCAACTAAATTCTTAGTTCTTTTAACTACTTTTTAATAGTCCATACAACTTTTTAAATTCAGTTAAGGACCTATTGAACTATGCAGGGTAGTTAAAAAGTAGTCAAATCTACTAGTTTTTTTATTGAGTGTATTTTTTACTGATTTTTTTGTAATTTTAAAATAACTGTTGGTGGATACACTGAAAAAAATTAGTCGAGAAATTCAACTACCGTTAGTTAGTTGGCTGAAAAATAGTAAATTTCTTTTGGAAAACGTTTTATTCACCTCTCAAATAAGTTCGACTAGATATTAATTAATCTATCATAAATTCTATATTATATCCACCAGGAACATCATCGTCGACTAGTTTTCGTTATAGTAGCAGCAGTTATTTTAAAATCACAAAAAAATCAGCAAAAAATAAAGTTGTGGAATTTTATTGAAATTTTTGTGCAATTCTGGTGGAATTCTTCCAAAAAAATTCGCAAAATTACGAAAGGAATACTTTCAAAATTTTGCGGAATTCCGTATGGAATTTCCGTGAAGTGATTTCCGTAGAATCGTTTCACATGGATTGTAAAACTGAAATCAGTTTTTATTGAATATTTTTGATGTAATGAAGTCCTAAATATCATTAGTTTGCATTACGAGTTGAACGTCTTTTTTCGATTTTTAATTTAAAATTTCAAAACGTAACCTATAATTTTTTGCTTTTGAGGTCCCTTTTTCAGATCGCGTCGCATTTAATCTCGTTATACAAAACTTGAATTTCATTTATACTTTACCTTAACAGGAATACCAGATGAAGGGGGCATACGGTCTTTATGTTGGAAGCTGTTATTAAATTATCTTCCTACTACAAGAGCTAGTTGGTCAGAAACTTTGACTCGAAAAAGGGAATTATATCGCACTTTTATAGGTAAAATAAAAGATAATTTTTTATATATAATAAATTTTGTCATTGCTTTCATTGAATATTAATGTAGTGTTTTCTATAGAGGATCTTATTGTAACTCCAGGAGAATCAAATGTCGATGGAGATAGAGTTGATGTCACATTATGTGACCATCCCCTAAATTTAAATCCAGATAGTAAATGGCAAACGTACTTTAAAGACAATGAAATTTTACTCCAAATAGACAAAGATGTCAGGTACTTACTTTTTTAAAATATTATTTTAGAATGCAAATTTTTAATGGTTTTGTAAAACTTTTCCCTGTAATGAAGGCATACAAAAAAAATTCATATATGTATGTTATACGTTCAACAACATATTAAAAAAAAATTATTGGTTCAATTAATTCAAATTACTTGGATAGTAACACAATACAGTGATGCCTTTGTTTACAAAATTTAATATTTACAAAATGTTTTACATTATAAAATGTTATAAAATATCCTTTCCAATAAATTTTTATCGAACTTCCTAAGTCGTTGCGAGAACATTGTTTATTTTACAATTAAACAATTAATTTTGCAATAGTGCGATTCCAGGTGAGATTTTGACTTTTTCGAAGTAGGTTAATCTTCTGCAATGAAACTTTGGAATTTTATTATATATAGTAAGACTAATCTTTAACGTAAATTGCAGCTTAAAATATTTGTTAGTTTACGAGATTTGCAATAATAACAAAAAATTTTAAACTGCTACATCTTCCGTTCTAATAATCGAATTTAGGTCTACGTTTTTTTAAAATGTCAAGGAAAATGAGAGGAATAAATCTCTTTCAGAACAATTTTTTATTATTTTGCAGCTAGACAAATTATTGAATAATAATTGAACAAATTTCACGCGACAATCTAAAATTCAATCACTTAAAAGCTAAAATGATCTTACCTGTGTTTTCTTTAATGTTCCAAAGGAATCCAATTGTAAATGCAAGTTTAACTTATTTAATTTAAATAATTTACGAGTATAAACAATTGCGATTTCTGCTAGTTGACGTGCAGACGCCATTGCGCACGCAGCATTCTCACGTAGCCAATTTAGTCCACGAATCACGTCAGCTGGTTACAGGAGAATGCTGCGTGCGCAATGTCGTCTGCACGTCAACTAGCAGAAATCGCAATTGTTTATACTCGTAAATTATTTAAATTAAATAAGTTAAACTTGCATTTACAATTGAATTCCTTTGGAACATTAAAGAAAACACAGGTAAGATCATTTTAGCTTTTAAGTGATTGAATTTTAAATTGTCGCGTGAAATTTATTCAATTATTATTTAATAATTTTTCTAGTTGCAAAATAATAAAAAATTGTTCTGAAAGAGATTTATTCCTCTCATTTTCCTTGACATTTTAAAAAAACGTAGACCTCAATCCGATTATTAGAACGGAAGATATAGCAGTTTAAAATTTTTTGTTATTATTGCAAATCTCGTAAACTAACAAATATTTTAAGCTGTAATTTACGTTAAAGATTAGTCTTACTATATATAATAAAATTCCAAAGTTTCATTGCAGAAGGTTAACCTACTCCGAAAAAGTCAAAATCTCACCTGGAATCGCACAACAACAATTAATAAAGTTAAACAATAAGTCAATTCATTATATTTAGACTAAAGTCGTTGTTGACTAATTTTTAAAAATTATAATAATTTGTAGGAATGATTTAGAAGTTATCAATAACACGAAATGAAAAGAATTTTATTAAAAAATTATTTATTTTAAAATATCAATTTAAAGTATATAAGGTGTTGAAAACTGTCAATTTTTTAGCCAAAAAAAAGTTATTCACATTTATAATTTTTTATACACTTATGAAGAAGAGAGAAGAAAAGTACAAAGAAATTGTAAAATTTTATTACAAGAACTTTATATTAGTTGTATCAAAAAACTTACAAAATTACTAAGAATATAACAAACTAATATATTAAAATATAAAAAATATTCAAAAGCTACTCATTCAATTAATTTGAGCTCGATAAAATGGTCGGGCCTGCTGGACCCATGGAGCCAGATATGGGTTAAAGATTGTTAAAAACTTTAATTCTTTATAACACAGGAAGATTTGATTTCTCAAAAAAAAATTCATTGAAGTGTTTAATTAACTCTTAAAAAAAGTTTTCATTTTATATAAATTATCAACTAAATACAAAAAATTCGAAGTAACACTTCAGGAATTTTAACTCATTAATTTGATTTTCATTGACTATAGCTGAAGATTCATACTCAATCTGCGTGTCTTTTTCCAATTTTTCAAAACTGACAACTAATTTTTAAAATAGGTACTTATTACAGGAGGCTGTGCCCAGACATATCATTTTTTCAACAAGGAACGGAATTCCCCTGTAAGGTAATAGTGGCTGGTAATGGACAAAAACGTTTACATCGTCGAGTACAACACACTGTTTTACGAAGTGCAAATGTTGAAAGAAAAGGATTAGGTGTAACTAAGGTATTTCTTTACAATTAATTGAATTTAAAGTAAATAGTTTGAAAAAATTTTCCAATTTTTTACTTAATAATAATTCTGACTAACGTTATTTTCTTTTCCTTTTTCCGAGGAACAGCAGGTAAAAAATACCATTAATTTATAATGTAAAATTACATTTGAATTTATAATTTAAAATAATTGAGCGGAAGCAAAAAATATGAATTTACCGACGCATATGAGAAATAGAGAAATTTTGAATTTTTTTTATTATGATTCGCATGATGATTGACAATGTAATATTACTAATGATAGATTGCAGTTTCTGTAAGAAAAGCGATAGAAGACTATGCACCTCTACCGGAAGGAAGCGAGGCTCATTGGGAAGTTCTGGAAAGAATACTATTTTTGTATGCAAAATTAAATCCCGGCCAAGGCTATGTTCAAGGAATGAATGAAATTTTAGGCCCTATTTATCATGCATTTGCCTGTGATCCTTGTATTAGTTGGAAAGGTAAGTTATTTGTATTTCATTATTTTCCCTGTTATTATCATAATGAATCAATAGTTCATTATATTATAATTAACTGCTTATTCTTATAATTAATTATTATAGGGTCAGACTTTTCCAAACGAATCACCTAAAATTAACAAATTTTAATGTTAAATTGTTTTTTTTTGCTCCTACTGTGATCAAAATTAGTTCCTGAAAATATTAATACAAAAATTTTCTCAAAATCCAGTTGACAAATTTAAAAACAAAAAATATGTTTTTCTCGTCTTGGAACATTGTATTTAAAAATAATTTTTGTTTCAAAAAATTTTGTATTTTAAACAGTTTTTTTAAATTGTTTATTTATAAAATGTTAATAAAAAAATTTGTTCATTTACTATGTAAAGTTTAAAAATTGTTTTATATTCCGCATAAATTTCTGAGTATAAAACTGTTGAGAAAAAAATAACACTTAGTTTGAAAAAAGTTAATTAATAAATTATTATAATTGAATTATGTAGGGTAGATGATGTAAGTTGAGCAATTTTCTTTAAAATATTTATAATAAAAATAGACCGATTTAGTTTTTTAACATTTAACATTGGTTCTTATGAGAATTGATAAATATTTGTCAACTGCAATTTTTTTACATTAAGAAGAAGTAAAAAAAATTGAAATTTAATTACTTTTTGAAAATTATAGCTGATTCCTGATAATTCTAATTAAATAATTATTTCTGTTTTTTTTATATTTTTTTTTATTAGAATACGCGGAAGCGGATACATTCTTCTGTTTTACAAATTTAATGGCAGAGATACGAGATTTTTTTATAAAGACTTTGGATGAAGCTGAATTTGGAATTAACTCGATGATGATTAAATTAACTCAACATGTGAAAGATAATGATCGTGAAATTTGGCAGCGATTAAATCAACAAGAACTCTGCCCGCAATATTATAGTTTTAGGTAGTATATATAATTTTTATACACCTCTATACAAAGGGGATTAAATTTAAATGGTCATTTTATTTTGCAACAAAAATAAATTCTTACTAATTTCAATTATTCTGTTAAATAAAAATTAGGTCAAACAAAAATTTTGTTTAATAAAAGTTTTATTAAATAAGAATTTTATACAGAGTTTTGTATATAGAAATTCCGTTCATTGGGAATTCAAATAATAAAAATACTTTTATGAAAATTTTTGCTGGGTATAAATTCTGTTAAATGAAAATTGTACCTATTATTTAAAAATTCGATGTATTAAAAAATATCCTATATAAAAGTTCAGTTAGATTAAAATTTTATAAAATCAAGTTAAATTCTTTGGTATGTAAATTTGGCTGATTATAAAATTCTGCTAAATAAAAAGTAGATCATTTTTAAATGAACATTTCAAAAAATTCCGACAGATTTTTATTTTGAAATATTATACCATATTTTCTAACCATTTAAAAATGTAAATAAAAATGGTTAATTTCTGTTATTTTGTAGGTGGCTCACATTACTTTTATCACAAGAATTTCCGTTACCTGATGTTATGCGAATATGGGATTCCTTATTTGCTGATGAACACCGATTCGATTTTCTAATTCATATTTGTTGCGCTATGATCATGTAAGTGCTTATGTTTTTGTACTTAAAATAACTAATATAAAACTTTAATTCCTTAATTTAACGCTTTTAGGACCAGTGTTTTAACATTTAACATTATGTTTTTTTTAGGTTATTGAGAGATCAACTGTTAGTTAGTGATTTTGCAGCAAATGTCAAACTTCTGCAGGTACTTAACTTAAAAATGACACTGGATAACAAAAAAAGCGAATAAGAATCTGTTTCATATAATACACTAATACTTATATTAGTTTTATTACACTTTTCAATTCAAAAACGTCATTTTTAGACAATTTTTATGGTGTGAAACTAATGGAGAACACTATTTTTATAAAAATTGCATAGCATTCAGCTGAAAAAAGTACTATGAAGTCATTTATAAATATGAAGCATTTGTCATGAAACTTTCCTCTTAAAAACACTTAACCTTTTTAATTGTGTGGTCAAAGAATGAAAATCTTAATTTTTGACAATTTTAGACTATCTATAATAGTATTGAAAAAATTAAAATTTTTCAAAATTGAATTACTGTTAAAATTTCATTAATCTTTCATCTTAAATATTGAACTACTACCTATGTTAAACTCCATTTTAAATATCGTATCCACTACTTTTTACAATTTTGTTTAAGATGATGGTGATAAAATTATGAATTTTTTTCAGAATTTTCCATCAATGGACATTCAGATTGTTTTATGCAAAGCTGCTGCTCTTGCAGGAATATCACTCGATGCGTACTGAAAAAAGTGAAATTTCTTCCGGAAATCAGGGACTGAGATTGTTATTATTATTTGAGCAATTTAATTTTTACTTATTACTATATGTATACAACAGTTATAGTTTTGTAAGAAAAACATATATATATAGAAAGAGAGAGAAAATTATTCAATATATTATAATTTTGTCAATGAAGACATTACTTTAATTCTCGATAATGAATAAAAAATGGCCTATTTTAATTTCTTAACTGCACATTTTCGCAGAAAAACAGTTAATTGCAGATCTGATTGTTATATAAGTGTACCCGATTTATCAGAGTACTTTAAAAATAATGAAAAACTATTTTACTACATAATATATCAATTCATATATTCTATTTGACAATAAGTGACATTAATAAAATGTAAATAATATATTTTTAAAGGTAAAAACAATTGAACACATACACTACCGTTCACAAGTATGGGAAAGTTTACGCGCGGGTGGATTGAAAAATATGCCATATATTTTTCGGTCACGTTTCTGCAATAAAAGAGGATAGAAAAAAATTTTAAAACACATATCTGTCTTTAACTAAAAAACAAGTTGATCTCCGATGCACAGTGGGGCAGAACTCTGAAAACGTCCCGAAAACTCTAAAATTAAATTATTTTTTAAAAGTATTTGATGTTCATAGCATTATTCTCTGACCTTTTCTGAGTTAAAAGCACATTTTATAGATATCTAAAAAAAAATCTTATCCTTCTAAAGTTTGTTGAAATCTAGCTTCCGCATTTAAAAAAAGTAGCAAATTAGAATGAAAAATACATCGCCCTCGTAAAAATATTATATAAAGCTCAAATTTTATTATTTTTCAATTTTCTAAATTGGAGTCGTCTCTTGGAAAGTACTGGAATACATTTGCATAATTTAAAATTAATGATATCCATAATTAAAAAACCTATTTTACTAAGAAATACATGAAAATGTTTAAAAAATCAAGTATAAACTTTTTAAAAAATAATTACTCCAATTAAATTACATAAACCTCTATTGGATTTTATATTCTATTCAACTAATATTTCAGTTATTAATACTTAAAAAGTTTTTTGGTCGTTGATTATAAATTTGAAGTCAGATTTATGAAAATTCTAAATGGTGGATCTAATATGGCGGCCAAAAATTGTAAAAATTCAATTATTTTTAACAAATCTTGGAATAAGGCGGTTTTTTACGTCACTAATTACTATTCTACAATAAAACCGATGGAAGCTTGCAATGCCAACTTGAAAAAATTTGCAAATGCGCAATTAAATTCTAAAACACCTATGCCTGCGCCTGCGCATTAAGTTTATATTCTTCGGATATGACGATCAATGTATTTTGAAAAATAAATCGTATATATCAAATATTTATTTAAAAATCATAATTACTCTTCCGTCTTCCAATAAGTTTAATTAAAAAATTGCAAAACTTTTTAAATAAAATTATATATTTTATTTATTATTACATTAATAATAATTATTTAACGAAATTGGTTACTTTTTTAAATAAAATATTCGAAAATGTTTTCAACGATTTTGACTAATCAGGCGTCTTCATAAAATAATAACAAATTTTTTGGTAATGGTGTCACCTGAAGTAACATTCAAATTCGTAATCAGCGCTCCCAAAAACATATAGTTACCAAGTTTTGTATAAATCGAAGAATGTTTTTTAAGTTTTCAGCACGTTTACGGTTACGGTTACGATTTTGAATCTTTGAAATTTTGTTTATTTGGGGTATAAAGATTCAAAATATTCCAGAGTTTTTTTCGGCATCAGAGACCAACTTTTTGTTCGTTATAGACAGGTGTGAATAGTTGAAAAGCTTATTAAATTCTGTGTAAAATAAACCAAATTTATACTTTTAAAATAAACTTTAGAAATTGAATCCGTTATTGACTTATAATTTAAATTTCTTTTGTATTTTTTTTATTGCAGACATGAATTGATCGAAAAAGTGATGGCATTCTTCTTAATCGAGCTGCGAGTAAGTGTTCCCATACTCGTAGTCGGTAGTATATGTATATAATAACGTCCTTTGAAAGAACGATTCTAAGAAGCAAATGAAGTATAGGTTATGTTTACGATAGTTTTGCTTTGATTAAAAATCCCTTTTTATTTATGTGAAAGCAAAATGAGTTTCTGTTTAATACTTTATATTCAATGAAGAATTAAATATCAGTGGTTTGTATTGAGAGTTTCTAGAACATAACCTTTAACTTTTTTGCTTCTTAGGTCATTTCCTTTATAGTGCGTCGTAAGTAAATAGAAAAATTTGGCATTAAGCTAAATTCCTAGGCAGTAAAATAACAAAAAACTAATTCTTGATTCTGTCTGAGTTAGCAGTGACTCACTGTTGATTTGCTGTGACCTCTGCTGTTTTTTATGCTTAAATTTGGTTAAATAAGAGTTATGTTACATATAACTTCTGTTGAATGTGAATTCAGTAAAATGAAAATACTTTGAAGTAAATATTTCGACAAGCAGTAATTCGATTAAAGAAGAATTCTGTTAATAAATAAAAATTCTATTGCATAAAAATTCAGGTAAATAAAAATGGTTTTGTATAAAAATTCGGTTGAAAATAAAATTCTCTTAAATAGAAATCCAATAAATTTTAATTCAATACCGCAAAAATTCTTATAAGTTCAATGTGGGGAATATTCATGCGTTCCGTAAAATATTTCTACACGGAGAGAAATTTTTTGAAAAAATTACCGTGCTGCCAACTGAAAGGGAATGCAAAGTACATTGCATCAGTTTTTTACTTTGCATTATCTTTCAGGAGGTAACATTGCAATTTTTCCAAGAAATTCGTAATTAGTAAAATGTATTTACAATTGATTAATTTAAATGCCGAATCTGCAGTTGTCACTAATCTTACTGCCTAGAAATAAAGCTTAATGCCGTATTCTTCTCTTTGCCTACTATATACACATATTGTAAAAAAATAGACTTTTTTCTATTTTTATATTACAATTTATTGTATGAAATTAAAATTTTTTTAAAACATACAATAAATGTTTGTTTATAATAAAGTCATAGCAAAACATCATTCATTTTTTTAATTAAAAAAATCAATTCTTTTCTTACAAAATTTTAATTAAATGCGCACTATAAAAAAGTGTAAATTTTTATCTACTCAAATAGACAATTACACTTAAACAAATATACGATTTTTATATTTAATCTCAAAATTCTTTTTTTTTTTTATCAATTTTTCCACGAAATTTGATTATTTTTTTCATCCTTTTTATCGATTTAAGAATAAATTATTTCCATAAGTTTGTATTTTTATAACTTAATTAAAAAAAAAAATTTCAACACGTAAAGTCTTTCTAATACTGATACATACACATATATATCCGTGAAAAAGGAGTCATGTTTTATAATTGATAAAAACAAATCATAATGAAATTTATTATAATCAAAAATGTTCTTTATTTTATTTGAGAAAAGTATTTTAGAAATAATCTATTATAGTAATAATCTATTTTCATTTGCGAAATAAGTAAGACATGAAGAAAGAAATTTTTGCCAAATAATACGCATTATTTTAAATAAAATCGTCCTTACTTTATAGAAACGTAAACGTAAGTAAAAAAATATTACAGTGTCGTAATGCAATTCATTATAGTTCTTAAATATCATCAGTGACAAGTGACAGCGCAGAGAAAAACAATATGTGTACGTGTAGTGAAGAAGTTTAGTTGAATTTGCACTTGGAAAAATCCATCTCCGGATGTTGCTCCATAAACCTGAAAATATTTAATTCAATTAAAAACTTGCATTCTGATAAGTAGTTTCATTTTTGAAAAAATCTGACATACTTTTTAAGGATCAATGATATTTTTTATTTCATAAAAAATTAAACATTTAATAAGGCGGCTTCAAAATGGTGATAAAATAAATTTTTAATTTAACAAATCTGTAGAAAAAAAAACCCACTCGGGGACTGAATTCAAAGTTTAGGTGCTGTGTGGATCACTTAAATATTGGAAACTAAAAATATACAATACTTTTTTATGACGTCCTGTTTCTTTTGTTCGTCAGAAGTGGGTAGACCAAGTTCCTTCTGTCTTTGATCGTACATCATTTTCTCAACAAGACCTCTTGTTTCACCATCAAGATCTGATAATTTGCTAGGTTCTGGACAAACTTTTTTTGTACTAATTTCAGGATCAGATGTTACAATGTGAGCCCACCATTGCATTTTATTCACCTAAAACAATTAACAAATGACGAATTTCTTTTCACACAACTTTTTATTTAAAAGAATTCTAATTTAACCAAATTTTAATTCAGCAGAATTCTCATTTAGTAGAATTTTAAATGCTTCGAATTTTTAATTTATCGAATCATAATTTGTCCAAATTTTTATTTGTACGAATTATTATTTAATAGAATTCTTAAAACGCCGAATTTTCATTTATTCGAAATTGCAAATGGCCAAACAAATAATCGAAAGAAATTTCGGCGCTATTTTTAAAATTTACCAATCAGGATTATCTTGATAAAATTTCTGATTGGTAAATTTTAAAGATCGCGCAAAAATTTTTCAGTTGATTGTATACTCGGCCATTTGCAATTTCAGACAAATGAAAATTTGTTAGAATTCTTTTGAATAAAAAGTTGGGTAAAAAGAAATTCAATGAAATAAAAGTTCAGCACCTAAAATATTTAAGTTTTAATAGCTTCATCAAAGAAGTACTTTTTTAATGAAACTTGGAAAAAATCTTCAAAAGGATGTTCACAATATATTATTTGAATACAAAATTTCTTTTTGTCTTATCTGAATGGAAAATATGTCATTTCGGGCACTTTAGGCGGGTGTAAAGTAACTGATTTCCGCTATAGGTCAGAAGTGAAGTGTCTACTAACCTTTTCCAAATTAATTAATAATGTTTTTCCATCCTCTATCACCCAAGTTGATTCTTCAAGTTTTACCTCGTGTGGCAAATCTCCATCGATAATTGGTGTATTTCCTTTCAAGCCGCATGTGAGATGTTTTTTGGAAATATTAACAACGACGTCCCTAGGCTTAACGGTGAATTTCACTTTTAAAGGCACTCTCACCTGAAAAAAAGAAAAATATTTTTTTTTAAAATTATTTATATAAAAATAATTTTTATCACAAATTAAGAAATTAATGATAGAACGTCCAAGCGCCCGTCCTGCCGGAAGGCTTTTTTGGATGGCCCTATATATATGAGGGTGGTAAAAAGGGAACTCAAAATTTTTTTCTGTCACCCTTTCTTATTAAAGTAGACGTAAAAACGAAAAAATTCATGAGTTAGACTTTAAAAAAAAAATAATATTAAACCATGTTTCAAAGCCTTCAAACTTTGCATGTTTGCAACAAGCCAAAAAAACAGTTTTTCGTAAATTCACTGTAAAATCTACAAAAACCAATATTTTTCGGTCTAACTACTCTCATTTTCTTCTGAAGCCTTCAAAGAATAAAATGTGATAGTTTATTTTTAAAAAAATTCAGTTTAAATATTTTTTTGGATTCGTCAAAAAAACCCTATAAAAACGTCCTTTTTCTTTGAATTCCCTAGCCTAGGGATTTTAATTTACAAACTTTATGTTTACATGCGCTAAAAGCTTGTGTTTTTATCTTTCCAATGATATATTTTACATTTGGATTATCTGAATCCATGTTAATTTTATAAAGCGATTTCGGAGGGACTCACGTGAGTCTTTTTCATCCTGCCGGAAGGCTGTTGGACGTTCTATCATTAAAGCAAATAATTCGCTTTCTTTTATTTAATTAAAATTGTAAAACAATATCTTTAAATCTCTTAATCTTTTTCAATGTTATAAACACAATCAAAAAATGAATTTAAGCTAATGAAAATTAAAAAATTAAGAAATTAGTTAGAATTTTCTTTTAAACCAATTTCATTAGATAAGATCATGAAGTAGTATAAGGAGCACTTACTCTATAGGCCGTTTCTGAAAATTCTACCCTAGCTTTGCCAGATTTAATAAAAGCATTTTCATATCGACGATACTAACAACCCTAGCGGAAAAGCGAGGAATTACAGGTCACGTGGTAGATTGTTATATATGTCATAGGGAAATAGAAGAATCCGGGAGTAAGTCTACTTCCTAGGCAGTAGGCTTACTGCTGGCAATTAGAGGAATTCACGTAGAAATCATTCTTTTCATCTATTTGCGTAGGGAGTAAGCTTACTGCTGGGCAGTAGGCTTACTGCCCGATAAAGATTCGGCATTTAGACAACTTACATCGCCATCCGTATATTTGTTTATGAATCAACCCAAAGTCGCATTTCAAAACAATGAATTTAATTAGATACTAATTACTCCTAGATTTTCCTCGTCTAATATTCATAGTGTAAGACTTCATAGGTAGTGAAAAGTTTGTATTTACAATTTACAAACGTCTTAAAACCGTTGAAGCAAACAGTAGTGATTTTATTCATTTTTAATTTCTATCGCTTTTATTATTTTTTCTATAAATTAATTACAATTATTAATAATGGATGTTAATTCGGTGAATCGCTGTGAATTTGAAAAAATATTTAAAACGAAAGTGGAGGCTCAAACAGGAAATAGATCCGTGTGGAGTAAACAGCAATATGAAGCAGTGAAATCAATTTTGATTAATGGAACTGAAAAAAAGTCAAAAAAATTCTATCATTACTCTAAAATGTATGAAATTCTGCAGATTGGTTCGGAGTGCAGTATAATTTTGAAAAGGAATAGTGGGAATGATGATCTTGTTTATATAGTTCCGATTGAAGAGTACTATTTAAAACTTTTGGAAGCACATACGCAAAATGGGCATGGTGGCCGTGACAAAATGTTGTATTATATGAAAAAGAAGTGGCGCATTCCCAGAAGTGCTTGTGAAGTTTTTATTAGTTTGTGCGAGACCTACCTACCTACCTTCTAACGTGACGCAAAATTTGAGAACAGAGGAAGAATTAGAAAATGCTCTTTCCAGCTTGGAAAATCTCGAGGATAATCGCGAGAACCCATGTTCACAAACCGACGAAGATAACGGGATTCAGTCAAGAGCACTAAATCAAATGCCGAAATTTTGCAGTATTTGTGAATCACAAATGGATCTGAAGGACACTGTATTTTGCACGGATTGTGACTCTGAAATACATTTTCAATGTGGGAATCAAGCAGACATTGACAAATTCGTTTGTTTACTTTGTGCAAGGGGGAAACATCTACTCGATGTTCAACAGGACTGCAGTAAAAGACAAAAAGTAGCTGCTGAGAAAATGACTACATTTTCTGTAGAAATGTTCCCACAACTTTCTACTGGTGATTGTGTGACTGTCAAAATTCCATCTGTTGATCGAGGGCCTTTAGACTTTAGCAAAATTTTTGGCGTTGTTACTGACTTCCAAAATGGTGTTTATCAAGTGGGGACTGAAAAAGGAATTATTAATGGATGGTTTCCTAGGACCGAAATTGAAAAGTCAGGAGCTTCTGCGATGCATCTGGGAGACATTCAAAGAGAAAATTTTATTTCTCTTAGAAAAGCTGCATCTCTTCAATCCAGCAGTGGTGGACAAGGTTACAAAAAATGTAACTGCAAAGCAACAAAAGACCAGTGCTGTACGAAACGCTGCTCGTGTTTCAAAGCCAATATTAAATGTGGTTCACAGTGTCATCATTCGAATTCGTGCATTAATAAATAAAAAAAAAATTAAAATTAAAATTTGACAATTTTAAAAATGAATTTCGACTTCACTTCAATTCTTTGAAAATTGATAACTAAATATTATGATAAATAAATATTTAATTAATAATCAAATTAAATTATATTAAAATTTTGTAAACTTTTTAAAAATAAAATCCAAGTTTATTTTCAATTTTCTTTACTTGTAATTAGTTCATTAATTATTTAATTATTATATTCATTATCATCCACATACCGATGCACATCGAAGGATGGCGATGTAAGTTGTCTAAATGCCGAATCTTTATCGGGCAGTAAGCCTACTGCCCAGCAGTAAGCTTACTCCCTACGCAAATAGATGAAAAGAATGATTTCTACGTGAATTCCTCTAATTGCCAGCAGTAAGCCTACTGCCTAGGAAGTAGACGTCTAGTAAGACGTTGGCGTCTTTTTTGAAATCTTTGAAATGTTTTTGATGCCGGTTTAATTCGCATAATTCAAAATAAAAAAAAGTGAAAAAATAAGCCACTGCTTTGTAAAAGGGTGTACCTCAAAGTGGTATGTGAAGAAGAAAAAAAATTATATATTATATTATTATATATTTTGTTCGTTTACATGGAAATATAACCTAAAAATGACAAACAAAATTTAAGAAATTTCGTATGAAATATATACGACTACAATTAGAAAAAATTATTTATATGTCTATATTATTATTACTTTCTATAGAAAATTTTCTTTATATTTTCACCAATTTTTTTTCAAATAATTTCTGTTTTATTTACATTTTTTGTGTGTAACTTTTTTCTTTCTTTACACTTTTTTTAAAACTATTTTATATAACTTTACATTGTTTACTACACGAAAACAGCTGTCACTAGGCGCGGCCATATTGTAAAAACTCATAAGTACACCGCTTTTCCAATAGAGGCGTCATAATCGGAGATATGTAATTTCGGACTTAATTCTTCTACAGGGGAGCTATATAACCCAGATAGCACAACTTTTTGAAGCAAATTTGCAATGCCAAATTATAAGTTTACAATGTAAATTTGCTGCAAAACTGTGGCAAATAGCTATATGTCCTCGCTTTGCGAAGTTCGCATTGCAAGTTTCAGGGTGGCCGTTTTTTTCACCAAAAAAAATTCCCGGTCATTTCCCGGTCATGAATTATTTTTCCCGGTTATAAAGGAAAATTCCCAAAAAAATTATTCTATAAATTTATTGAATATTGACTCTTTATTAAACATAAAACATACAGGGTGTTCCAAAAGTATGGAAACTTGCAAATATCTCGAAAAGTACGAATTTTTGTAAAAAATGTTCAAGACAAAAGTTGTTCCAAACAAAAAGATGTACATCTTTGAAACCAAAAAATTGGGCCCGGAGCCCAATGTTGGGCCCAACAATGAAAAAAGTGGTTTTCTTAAATGAGACCACTAACTTTCAGTATCAAATTCGTAATCCCCATGAAATTCTGCGTTCAGACATGTGGTATAAGTGCCCAAAATATTGGGCTCAATCCAAGATATTGGGTCCAAAATTTATCAACAGATAAATAAATTTTAAAAAATCGCATCTTGGAGGGATTTTGACATTACAGGATTAGAAATTGAGCATAGAGCCCAATGTAAGATTCTGCAGCCCAATGTGAGGGCCCAATATTTTTGGAATTTGTACCACAAGTCTAAGCCCAGAATTTCATAACGATTACGAAATGGAAGGAAACTAATTTTTTTACTGTAGGCCTCACATTGGGCCGCGGAATCTTGCATTGGGCTTTGTGTACAATTTGAAAATTAGCTTCCAATTTCTAATCCTGTGATCTCAAAATCCCTCCAAGATGCGATTTTTTAAAATTTATTTATCTGTTGATAAATTTTGGACCCAATATCTTGGATTGGGCCCAATATTTTGGGCACTTATACCACATGTCTGAACGCAGAATTTCATGGGGATTACGAATTTGATACTGAAAGTTAGTGGTCTCATTTAAGAAAACCACTTTTTTCATTGTAGGGCCCAACATTGGGCTCTGGGCCCAATTTTTTGGTTTCAAAGATGTACATCTTTTTGTTTGGAATAACTTTTGTCTTGAACATTTTTTACAAAAATTCGTACTTTTCGAGATATTTGCAAGTTTCCATACTTTTGGAACACCCTGTATAAATACGTAATATACATTAAAAAAAACGTTTTATCACGTTTATCACATTTTGTTTCTTACTTAATGTTTATAATAAACACATACTATATATTTTTTTAATAAAATAAACTTTTTCGTAGATATTTGTATCTCTTTTCAATTAAACTAGAAGTTAACTTTTAAAAACTACATTTTTAATATCACATTCAATATTTTAACATCTTAATACTTTGAGTTTTAAGATAAACATATATATATATATTT